ATGGAAAGGGAGAAAGAGGGAAGGTCTTACGAACAGATAGAAGTACTAAGAGAAAGAAACACGGACCCTGATAGACACAGAGACGGTAGATTTCGCGGGGATGAAGCGGATAGATCATTATGGCCGTACGAATCGGAGAACATACTCCGTGATGGGAACGAGTCTTTGGATTCTTATCCTAATGGCCAAGATCTGGATCTTGAGTACGATGAGAAAGTTTACTATAGGGATGATAGCATGGAAAGGGATATTATGGAGGGTCCACTACGTCTCTCATCAAAATTCAAACACAGGTAGTACTTTAACTTTATCCTATTACTCAATTTTTTACTAAAAATATGTACTGAAAGAATACATTTTATTATAATAGAAAAAGTAGATCTAATACAAGAAGAGATAGACAATGGGAAAAGGAAAGAGTACCATTGGATTTAGATAGACATGGACACCTTCGAAGAACAGATAAGCTGCCACCATCCAGAAGTCGTTCTCCACCACGACTAAGGCGATCACCGCCAAGGATATCGCACGACCGTTTCCGACGCGGATCCAGATCACGATCGAAGTCGTGGTCAAGATCGAGGTCACGATCCAGGTCGAGATCAAGATCCAGATCACGAACTCGATCGAGATCTCGATCCACATCCAGGTCACGGTCGATTATGCGTTCCAGATCAAGGACGAGATCGAGATCAGGATCTCGATCGAGGACGAGATCTACCTCAGGATCGAGAATGAGAAGCCCGGACCATTTAAGAATGACGGAACGATTACGATCCTCTAGGTGAATATTATTGGAATAATTTGTAATTGTAAACTATTGCTCGTATTGGATAGTCAGTAAGCGAATCTTACTGTCGATTCAGATCACCCTCTGTGGGACGAGGTAGAATCAACGAAAGTTCAAGGGAAAGGAAGGATGAACACGATAATATGAAACTAGATAGCTGCGGCGAGAGAGGTAGACGAATAGAAACGATCGTACAGTCCGTCACTGGACTGCCTAGGGACACAACCGTGTTAGATTCGGATATGCACATTGGTGACAATATGGAAACGGTCGCAACGGGTTTCCAATATTCGGCAGAAAACGAAGTTGGAAACGAGTACTATTATACAGAGAATAACTTAACCTATCCACCGTGCATAGACGACACGGCTACGAGTTCTCCAAAACGATTGTCCCTCGACGATAGGTAACCGCCTGATCGTGCCCGTGATCCTGACCTTAACTGCCCTTCCTTTCCACTGTTTCCTGAACTGTCGAAAAATGACAAAACCCAATATCAATAAGACATATACACTTTACTTTAGAATAATAACACTGAAATTGTTTAAATTATAGATTAGAACTCGAATTGGGGATTAAGAAGCAACAGGATGCTACAGGAGTATCGAACGATTATGGGGATAATTTTAATTCAAACATATGTTATCCATCACCACCTCAGCAAGCACAGATGCTGTACCGACAGCAACCTACAGTGTTACAAGTATGAAAACGAGGAATTTTATTCCTTATTTTACATGTAATTATATTATAAATTAAACCGTACAAAATTTTGTATAATAAATTAAGTGATAACATACGAAATGTTAAACAGGTGGGTAACGTGTTGCAAGTGGTACCCGCAGACTTCAACGGAGTACCAGCAACGCGCAGAGAACCGACCAATACTCCTACTACCCCAATTGTACGAGGTTCCAGCCAAGTAGTGCGCGTAGGTAATGTTCTTCAAGTTGTACCGACATCATTGGACTGGAGCGGCGGACAGCCCTCGTCAGTTGAACAACCAGCAGGGGGGGTGATGTACTCCGCGCCAGTCCCTCAACCTTCTCCGGTTCCTGCTACCCCTATATCTGTACCTGTTCCAGTTCCTGTCCCCATGCCTGTGCCCGTCCCCCCCGCAATGAGCACACCAACGCCTGTTACCACTTTGTCTCCGGTTCCACTACCCCTTTCCGTTCCTGTACCAGTTCCTGGTCCGGTTCCACTTCCTGTAACGCAGACGACGTTCCCCAGAATCGAAGTAACGCCACAAAGTGAGTGAATAAAATTTTAATCAGATTTTTCTTCAGTGATATATATTCTTGAAGAGTGTACCTAATTATTTGAATGATTAATTTGTAGAAGTGCCAGTTCAACCGGTGTATAATTATGAAGCTATACTGGAGACTCGTCGAAAGGAACAGGAAGAACGTAAACGGGTACGAGAGATTAGGAGAAAGGAAAAGGAACGTAGGCGAATCGAGCGAATTAATCGTCGTGCTCTTCGACTGTTCGAAAAGAACAATCTACGCCAGTCGGAAAACGCAAGTCAACAACAGAGTTCCAGTCTGGACCCATCTGTTTTGAAGGCTCTTCGGGAGAGCGAGGAACAAGTGGACACGGAGGAACAACAACCTTCTATTGCGATTCCTGAGAAAGAAGAAGAAGCACCGGCGGTCTCATCCTCTGCTCCCGCAGAGGAAGAAGAAGTGCCTGCTGAGGAAGACGAAGAGGAAGAGGAAGAGGAGGAGCCTGAGGTGGAGGATGACGAAGAAGACGAGGAGGAAGCAGAAGAGGACGAAGAGGAAGAGGAGGAGGATGATGAGAAATCAAAGGCGAACAAACTGAAAAACGAAGTGGATGAAGCTATTGCTGCAACAGCGCCGACGAGTGAAACAAGCAAGGTTCCAATGGAAGCGGAATCCAAAGAATGGCCAGAATTGCCACCACCACCTCTGAAAGGAATCTTAGTCGCGTCAGGTTTCAGGTACATTATCCTTTGTACATTTATACGGTTAAGAAGAGTACATTTGATTGATTTATAAAATGTATTTACGTTTTAGAAGGACTACGGTTCCTAATGGTAACCTGGACGATTTATCTACTCCTGAAAATGAGAGCGGAGACAATACAGACAAAGAAGGCATAGAGGTGGACAAGACTGAGTTCAACAAGGACGAAGTTGGTGAGAGTAAATCAGGCAAATCAAAAGCACACTCGAAGAAGTCAAAGTCAATAAAATTGAGCAAGCGGAAACAGAGAAGTAAGAAGTCAGTGCAATTCGCGGACGGAATTAAACCTGGAGAAGGTACAAGTCCTAGCGGTGGAGAGGGAGATATGCCTTCTCCTCCACCTCCTTCGTCTGTAATCGCTCGAAGTGGAATTCGTGACGTTCGAAGGTCCAGCTCTAGGAAAAGCAGGAAACAGGACAAGAGGACACGACCTCCAAAGGCAAAGAAGAAAGTGAAAGTTAGTTTCTTCTTAATGGTTAAATTCCATATTTTCTTAAAAATTATATGATACTTTCTATTTAGCACATATAAGATGAATCTGAAATAAATTGGTTATATTTATTAGGTAAAAATCATAAAATTGAAGAAGCCACGAGTTACTCCGTTAACGGCGATGATGATGGACGATTCTGACGAATTGGACGATCGTTCTCCACCCCCGCCACCTCCTGGATCTCCTCCACCGCCCCACCTTTGGCCAAGCTATCTTTCCGCTTACAACGCCACCACACGTACCAGTGAAGCTCAGTCGACGTCTGCGGTATCGAGCACCGTTCAGGCACCTCCACCACCTACTCCGTTGCCTCTTTTAGTTCCTCCTCCTCCTCTGAATTACACAATACAACCTTGCACCAAGGCGTAAGGTTTTTTGTATTTTAGTCAGCATCATTCTACGCTAACGTGTAATACAACCGTAGGCTAAACTTGTAAAATGAACGATACACGAACATTTCTTCTTTTCCTTCACGGGGAGAAAGAGAGAGGAAGGGAGAATGCGTGAAGTGGTGGCCTTGATAAACAAAGGTTTTACACGGGGACTTAGAGAAAACAGAAAAAAAAAAGCAGATAACAATAATATATTATTGTTAGTGACAATTTTCATCGACTGTTTGCTTTTTGTAAATAGCTTCATTCTTCGTGACATAATTCCAATTAATCGCCCTCGAAACGAAGGACAAGTTCGCGTACGACGAGTGTTCCATTGCGTCCACGTCTCGACAAAATTCGCGGTTGCGTTCATATATATTTTTCGATACAGAAGAGGAAAAAATAACCGAGAACAAAAGAGAAAAAGTGAGAGCGAGAGAGAGAGAGAGAGAGAGAGAGGTCAGAGATACAATAGAGAATTGTAATGCGTGACACCAGTGTAATTTAATTATCGAGAAACTCGAAGGATCGATTGTTAAATAGCGATTACATTGTTGAAGATGTAAGTGTAAACCGTAAAAAGTGAATTTATCATTGTATATTTTAATTTTGTAGTTTATAACGATAATCATCGACTTAAGCATAGTTTTAAAAGGTAGAAAAAGGGTCTTGATGCAATTTTCGTCTCATTTTGTTTTCTTTAATTTTTTTCCTTTTCTTTTAATTATGCGAGTATCATTTGATTTGCGAGAATGGAGTTTGTATATACGCGGGGGAATAGATGTGGATTAGACCAAAATTTCATATTAATCGACGAAAATAAGGCAAAATAAATAAGAAGGTGAAAAAGCTGAGCTTGATCAACCGTATTCTCTCTGAATTTCTAACGTTCGTTGTACATATCTCGATCGATCATTGTTTAGCGCGCGCGGGGACTGTACTATTTTATTTACGCCGTGAACACAAATACAAACACACGTACACACATCTTTTTTTCCTTTGCATCTGAACGACGTTTCTCGTCTTTTTAATAAGGAACGTTAACTGCCCATAATTAATCTGAATTCCCACAACAACTTTTTGAAAAGTATCGATTTGTATCAAATAAACGTAATTCTTTTAATAAGCCGTTTGTGCGTTTATTTCGGTTCACGAAACACGTTATCGCGTTTATGACGTCTATATTCAACGAAAGATACAATGTTTTTTTTTTCATAATCACGTTAAATTATATCGAACGCTCTTGCATTTAGCGATGAGTCTCTCGACGAATAACGATCGATAAAGTGTTTGTACTGTTTGTCGACAGATTTTAACTAGAATCTTCCAATTGGATAATTTTTCTAGTCAATTAAAAAGAGAAAAATGAAAGTGGCCGTAGTCGGCGGTGGTATAATCGGTTTAACCACAGCATTACAATTAAAGCATGAGTTACATAATGCTGAAGTTACAGTTTTCGCTTCTGACTTTGACGATACCGTCAGCCATGTAGCCGCTGGCATATTCAGAGTTGGTTCTTCCTACTCTGGACGAACCGAGAAGATAACAAGGTTCATAGACAGCAAAAACATACCCTGTATTGACTTGTGTTTAAGTTTTATATATTTTATATTTCTACTTTTTCAGAGAATGGATACGCGAGTCGTATGAATATTACGATGATATTCGGAAGAGTCAGGAATCTTCGTTTGCTGGCGTGACAGCTGTTTCTGGTTATATATTTGCTAATTCTTCTCCAGAGGCCGTTAAGGTTTATTTTTCACTCAAGAAAAACCTTTTTATCGTGAACTTTTTAATCTTATCGTATTAATAATAATTCATTTATATATATCGTGATATCTATCAACCGTATTTCGAAATAAACAAAGATAAATTTAAAATAGTACTTGCGTTAAATTTAGAGAAGAGGTATTGATCTTTAAGTCTTTAAAAAAGGATATTTAAGAAGGAAGAAATATATCATTACGAAAGAAGTACAGTTTGTAGATTTTTCCTCTTTTTTTTTTTAAATAGAATTATTGGATGGAAGAATTAGTACCGATATACAGGAGAGCTACAAACGAAGAATTTCAATTAGTAGAGGGTAACTGGAAGTACGGATCATTTTTTACGACTCTTCTCACTGAATGCAAACTGCATCTTCCGTGGGCTCGCAGAAAGTAATGAACTTATTCTATGGATTAATATTACACTAAAAATAACGATTAAAAAAATGTTCATTTCTACAGATTACAAGAAACTGGAACTAAGCTAATAACTAAAAAATTCAATACCTTGACACAACTTGCAACTGAGTGGGATTTGATTATGAATTGTACAGGTCTGGGGGCACGATCTCTATGTAACGATAAACGTCTCGTTGCTATACGTGGTCAAGTACTCAAAGTGCGTTCTTTTAACATTAGAATCTGTTTTGTATAAAGGGAATAAAGTTCAATTTGCACATATTAAAAAAACAGGTAAAGGCACCATGGGTGAAAACATTCTTTTATGGTGAACTGGACACTTACATTATACCAGGCTTTGACAGCATAGTTACTCTGGGTGGTACGAGAAATTTCGATTCGGAAAATATCAAACTTTGTCCTCATGACTCAACGGCGATTCGCGAGAGATGCGAAAATTTTCTACCAGTCCTCAAAAAAGCACAAGTTGTAAGAGAAGAAGTTGGCTTGAGACCGCACAGAGAAAACAACGTTAGAGTGGAGGCTGAACAAATAGTGAACGGATTTTCTAAGGCTATCGTTAGTTTCAGAGGAATCATTTATTTTGATGAAATTTTCTTTTCCAGCGTCGTTGATGAAACATTCTGTGTTTTACAGTTGGTGCATAATTACGGACACGGAGGATACGGAGTGTGCACTGCTCCTGGAACTGCTAAGTACGCCGTGAATTTGGCGAAAGAAATGCATAAATCCTCTATAGCAAAACTATAAAGAGTGTGAATATTGTTTCGGCGTAACATTTAGTGAACATTATTAACCTAATCGTATTCGAGGAAATTCTAACAAGAATTGCTCACGAATATATGCAGTTTATTATTAACGAATTTACATAAGAAAATCGTTAATACGGGCTAACACTGCGTAGTATTATCAATGTTAATTCTTTTTTTTTTTACGTCCAATACAATACAACGTTTGCTCCAATGAGTTTCGAACGAAAGTATAGTGATTCTTTCATTGTCAATAAATACATGATATTTCTCGTTTCTCTTTTCTGTTTAGTGTACTGCCGAAAAACGCAGATCTTTATATGTAAAGAGATAATGTGAAACGCTTTGCGTCATCTCTGCCGCTCCGAAAGATTAACGAAGCTATAAAATCAACTCATATTTACTCGTGTGTTATCTTTCGAACAAATACGAGACCTTGCACGGTTGCAATGCATATTGTAGGATACTAATGCATCGTAGAAAGGTTGTTTAACAAACTCGAAAACATCGTTGCGAACTATCAGTGTACAGCTGCTTTGTCAAGTGTTTGCTAAACGCGTTAAATCGTGAATATCACGGTGACAAAAACCATCGAATTCCCATTCGTTTTCCGCTACTTCTTGCCAGGTTTCACATTTTTTCGAGGTGGAGCTCCCCATCTAAGCGCACTACTATCTACCGTTAAACGAGGTCTCTTGTACTGGCTACTTTTGATGTGTTCCTCGACTAATTTTGGTGTCACACAGATCACGTGTTGTCCCTTCCAATATTTCACCATATTCATGCTCTGCAATGTCGATATAATGTCTGTTTGTGAGATACTTGTCATCTGGCTGTAAATAGCAACAGATTGCTTAATACTGTTACCTTTAATTTGATTTAATTTCACGTATCATTTTGTGAATGACTACCTTAGATCTTTTATACTAAGAGTGCCCCGGAAATCCCTCAGAATTTCTAAGAGAATCCAGCTCCAATAACTTCTGTATGATAATTTCCCTAAGTCACTCAATGGTTTTTCGGGACTTCCAACGGTTTGTTCTATTCTGCTCAATTCATAGCTGAAGGCGATTAGAAGTTTTCCATATCCTTGCCTTTGAAACGGAGGTAAAGTTAGTATGCAGGCAACATTGTTACCATCAGGTGACTCCTTTTCCTGGAAACAAATTAAACAATAAGAAAAGATAGCTTGATAATTTAATTGTACATACAATTAAATACAAAAAAGGAGTACCTTCGAAAAATAACCAACTAAATGAGCTCCATGTTTATCAACTTCACAAAGAATATAAAAAAGGAATGGTTCGACATCGAAGTAGAGGGTTTTATGATCCAAGAATAATTTTGCGAGTAAGCATAAGTTTTGACAATAAATTTTATGCTCTCTGCCATCTACTTCCCAAATGCTTAACGTGCCTTTGCGATATATTTCTTTACCGACTGGCTGTCTGTGAGTACATTCACTCTAAAAATAAAATATTTTAATTATTTAAGCCAATTATTCTCGATAAATATTAAAAATTTTTAAATACTAAGATTCTTTACCATGTGATATCTATATGTTTTTTCAAGACGCATGTACTTCAAACAATATTCACAAATCCACAATTTAGGCTGTTTACCATATTCTTCTGGATATGGACTAAAATACCAAGTATCAATTTCATACTTTCCTGGAAGTGAACTTTTGAAAATAATGAGACCTTTTTCACATATTGGGTCCAATAATATGAAATAAGTATTGATGCTTACCAATTTGAATTTTATCAATATATTTGACTTTTGTTATTGCTTCATGTTCTTTTTCTAAAGCAGCAGTTGTAGGATCCATTTCTGCATATGTCTACAATTGAAAACCACAAATTTTGCTACAAAATAAATATTTATAATATACTTTCAATTTGATAAATATTTTCACAAATATATATACCTTTTGAATGTGATTAATTTCATCATGTCTTCTTTTTTGGTTTCTTGTAATTTTACGGTCTGAAGAATCTGCCAATAAATCAGTACCAGAACTTCTGTCTCCACTCTTCCAACTCCTATCACTCATGTCAAATCTACTGGACATGATTCTATCCCTTGGCACCCATTCATCCAATCTTCTGTTATGCCCTTCATAATGCACATAATACTCATAGTGGCTTTCACTTTCATTGTATCTTGTCTGAATAATCTCTGCTGGATCTACAAAAAGAATAAAGAAAAATTTTCTTAATATTATACATAAAAATTCATCCTGTTTTTAGTAATTCAACACTTAGGGAATATCAAAAATACATTTATATTTACCGATTTCTCGTTCATACATTTTAAAATATTTATAAAATGACAATTAAACAAGAAAAACAAAAAAGAAACACAAAAATAAGTTGATTTTTCAACACAAATGGCATTCTTTTCACGTACAAGGTGATACTGAGTCAAGTCTCAACACATGACTTCGTAATGTTTTCAAAACAAGTAGGATTTATCAAGTCAAAGCCGGTAATACAAACACAAATACAAAATCGTCAAAAAAGTGCACGGATAATTGGCCATTAACTTTAGATAATTCTCTACACGCGGTCTTAGATAAAATGATTATATTTCTATGAGAATATATTTACGCCACGACTCGTCAGATCTGCGAACGAGATAGTGTTCGCCTATATCGAGAGGCAATTCCTCGAGACTGTCCGCGTCATCGCCAGATCCCTTCCCGCCATTCGTCAACGTGTTTTCACGCTTTTCTTGCTTCACCATCGTTTCCTTCGATCCCGCAATACAATTCTCTTTGTTCCTTTGCTCCGACTCGGCCATTTTCTGGGCTAAAAATCACTCGTTGTCGAAACGGTATTTGCCGCTGCGAAATAACCGAAAATAGAAGAACATTGCACTCGCTGATGCAACGCGACCAATACGGCCATGAAAATCTCCACACGTATATTATATATATGCGTGTAAAGTAACTAGATTGTTTGAAGCACACTTACCGGAAGTGATGAATTTTTTTTTCAAACCGATAATCAAAGAGATATTCAAATGACCGATTGCGAATTACTAACTCGATGAAAATCAACTTACATAAATTACACACGTTACAAATTAACATTAAAAATAAGAAATTGTATAAAAATGATCGAAGAAGGTGAGGATTGTTGCGTGGATGCTTTTAGGAAAAGATTAAGGAACGTACACATGAGATCATTGAATATGAATGCGTACTTTAAATAATGAATGGAAAAATTTGCATTTCTCTGCAATATTTATAAAAATGAAGCTATTTCTTAATTTAAATGTAATTAAAACCAATATCATTTGTATTTCTATCTACTGTTTCTGATTCTGCACGTTAATATCATTCCTCGTTTTCAAATATTTTAATGTTATTTTAACAACTTGTTCTTTAACGGTTTACCTTTAACGTTTTATTATAATAAATAAAAACAGATTATAATAAATAAAAACAGATTATATTACATATATTTGCTTGGTAATTAAAAATTAAACCTTTAAAATCTCGTAAATATTATGAAAATATAAATGGCGCTTACAGGAAGAACAATTGCCATATCGCTGCTTCCATCTATAGTGAATTATGCTACGGTTTGTAAATATCGATTTTTTTTTGAACCAAGCATGATTCAAACGAGATTCGTGCGAAACTTTTTAATTTTTATACGTATAAGTAAAACCCGCGATCGAATGTCCGATTATTGTGTAGTTTCTCAAACAATTTAACGGGACAATTACAAACATGAGGCTGACAGATCTGTTTCCTATAATTGCATAACCTTTACTTAACTAGATTATTGCGTGCTGTAGAAAAATGAGATCATGTCAAAAGTTCTTTGCACTTCTAGTGATATGGTAGAAAATGTACTGATCTACTTTGGTCTTAAGATTACTAATGCTATCAAACAACACTAGAAATCTTAGAAATGTTACGTCGAAACAGGTAAACAACTTATTATGTAATCATCGATATGTATATTTAGCTAATTTTGCTCGACGAATATTAAGGAAATTATAGTGATTCGTTATTATTTTGATCATTCTTCCTTTTGTTATGAAAATTCTAATAAATATATATTTAATAAATTATATTGTGCAGATTGAAGAATAAAGCTGTTGCAATTGGTCTTCTGTTATTCATTGCTGTAATTTACAGTGAATTTTTAGTCTATGATATACAGAAGTTGAAATGGTCAGTACGAGAATGCTCAGAATGTGTCAAGGTATTGCTTGTTGCAGACCCCCAGATATTGGGTGAAAAGAATGAAAATTATTTCGGCTCTTGGATAGCACAATGGGATAGTGACAAGTATGAATAATGATTAATTTATTCATTAAATCATAAATCTTGTAGAAACTGTAATTGTTCCTACCAAATGTGATAAACATTGACCTAAGTTTTGTTCCACAGTGTTTTATTTGCAGGTACTTAAAGAAAACATTTTCAAGAGCTCTAGACCACTCTGATCCTCATGTTGTTGTATTTCTGGGAGATCTTATGGATGAAGGTCACTTTGCCAATGCAAAAAGTTTTAAAGCATATAAAAGAAGATTAGATTATATCTTTGAAATGCCTGATAATATAATGGTATAATTATATGTAACTAATTTGGTAAATGCTGTAGTTCATATTTAATTTAAACCTATTCTTTTTGTTAGAAAATTTATCTACCAGGTGATAATGATATTGGAGGTGAAGAGGATGTAGTTTCATCCAATATTCATAACAGATTTAATTTTGCATATACCCAACCAGATACTCTAGTTCACAAAACAGTAACATTTTTCAAGGTAAACTATAAAAAAAGATATACATTTAAATAATTTTAAAGTATATGGACAAATTGTAACATGCTCCCTTTTTATTAGGTAAATAGATTGACACATACAATGCCAGAAGCTCCAAAAGATGCCTTTCTCAACGATTATGCAGAAAGAAATACAACAAACGTAGTACTTAGTCATATGCCTTTATTATTCATGCCTGGTACCTTCGTCCAAAATGTACGCGACATTCATGTATTTATTAAAAAGCAATTTCTTTCTCAGTTCTCACTAATTATTGCATTATGATGTTAGGTACTGAAGGAATTATCTCCTCAAATTATTTTTACCGCACACGAACATAAGGCCATGCACATCAGTTTAGACACGGCAACAGACCAATTAAGTGAGATTTGGGTTTTACCTCCCTATGAGACACCATTGTATCAATTAAGGATGGACGTAGGTGATATTCACGAAGTGCAAATTCCTACCTGTTCGTATAGAATGGGTACCCCTCACACGGGATATGGATTAGCTTATATAGGTAGAGAATATATAACATCGTATTCGTATATAAAGTCATTATTTTTTTCTATTTAATCACGTATTTTCCACTTCTAGATACGCAAGAGAAGGCGGTAGAAATTACTATTTTATGGCTCCCAGGAAGATTTCCTCAATTATGGATTTACGTTTTTGTTGGAATATTCATTTTAGCCTTCAGCGTTTATGTGTACATATCCAGTTATTGCGTAAAAAGTCATGCAGCTTATAGTCGCATGTCTTCGATATAAATGCGGCATATAATCAAATACGATATAAAATCTAAAATGATAACTTGACATTGAAAATGAGGTACAAAGATCCGTCCAATTAATGTGATTCTACTACCATCTATGTCAAGTTTTGAATGGAATAATGTGATGGTCATCTGACGCTTAAAACAAGAAAAATTCACTTATTATCTAGCATCAGTAAGATACTTCTTAGAACATGTTCCTAAATGTCTCATCACAGTTAGTAATTAAAGGAGAACAACTTAATTTTCACTGAATTCACTTACAACAAGGATCAACGATTTACTTAACTAATTTTTAGAAATGTTTTAACACGATGTCAATTTATTTGTCGTTTATCTATATAGGCTCTTAGTTGCAAATTATAAGGCTGACGTAGCGTAGTTTTTGTGTAATATATAACTTCATTTTTCTTATTATATTTTACAAAATGGCATTTACTGTAAATGTGTATAAAATTAAACAAACAGAAAATCATCTATATTTTTCCTGTTCAAATAAATTGAAAGAGATTATAATCGCTATATTTGTTCAAATATAGCGGAATATTGTTAATTCGTTTAGAAGAGATAATTTATATTTGTGAGTAAAACTGTATATACATTTGCCCGAAATAAATATTAAACGTTAATACTCGACTTATCATTTTCTATGTTTATTACTCAGTGTACATGTAATTATAAAACCATTCTTTTCCAATAATATAGATAAAACTATTTAAAATAAAAATACCGCCATAACATTTGATGCAGAAACGTGGTATAAATCGACCAATCATGGACTTTTGCGTTCTCAGTATTTTATTATGCGTATCAAGTGAAAATGCGTAAACACGTGCGACTGTGTATGTACATGGATGCTGAAACGTCAGAATAGTCGATTTTAAGTTACATTTTGAGTAACAAAATTAACCAGTAACATTCTGCAAAGTATACTGTTTGTACGCACGTTGCGTACCATTTTATTTCGTACGATGGGGAAACGAAAAGCTAATGATAATGTTGGAAATCCAAATCAAGATTTGTGCGATTTTTTAATCGGTAAATTGTTTACCACATTCTCTATATGCAATATACCGTATATATTTGTTTAAACTGTTTATAAATAATTATTAATGAACTTGTAACCTCAGATTCTTACGCAAGCAAGAATTTAATATCATTTAGAGCAACTAATTATCACGACTGTAAAATTCTCTTGTTCGTTAATGATTGACATATATACCCACATACGCGCGCGCGCGTGCATACACACATGTACATTTATACCATGAAATTACAGAATTGGCAAATTACGAACGAAATGTCAGCAAAAATATTTTTAAGTACAATGCATATCGCAAAGCAGTTGGCACTTTGAGTAGTTTACCAGAAAGGGTAAAAAGTGGAAAAGAGGCAAGAAAGTTACCTGGGATTGGTGAAAAAATTGCTAAAAAAATAGACGAGTTTCTTAGTACTGGAAAGTTACAAAAATTGGAAAATGTATTAAGTTTATTTAATCAGTAATAGAATATATCTCAATTCTTTTATGTATTGATTCTTACATTTTTTACTTTTGCAGATCAACAAAGATGAAAGTAATGTTGCCATTAATTTGTTAACTCGTGTATCTGGTATTGGGCCAGCAAAAGCAAAGGAATTAGTGGATGCTGGCATTAAGACCTTGGATGATTTAAAAAAGCATCAGAATAAACTCAATCATCATCAAAAAATTGGCCTTAAGTATGGAGAATAAATTGCTGCCTAAAAATTACTGGCTCCTTCTACAATAATTAAAATTTTTCCTCAGATACTTTGAAGATTTTGAAAACAAAATTCCCAGGAAAGAAATTGGGGAAACTGAAAAATTTATAAAAGATGTTGTTACAGAATTGAGCAATGAATATATTGTAACTGTTTGTGGAAGTTATAGACGTGGAAAAGAGGAGAGTGGAGATATTGATGTTTTATTAACACATCCCACATATACTTCAAAAGAGAAGGAATCCAAGAAAAAAATTTCAGGCCTGAAGAAAGTTGTGGAATGTCTTGAAAAAAAGAAGATGATCGTGGATACAATATCTCTTGGGATAACCAAATTCATGGTATACTGACATTATATGTGATTAAATCAAGGTAAAGTAAGTATACTTAAAAATCGGTTCGCTTTTAGGGTGTATGTCAAGTTCCAGGCGAAGATAGAAAACCGTTTAGGAGACTTGACATTAGATTGGTACCTTACGATCAGTATTATTGCGCTGTAATTTATTTCACCGGAAATGATCTTTTCAATAAAAATATGAGAGCCCATGCCTTGGAAAAGAACTATACTTTAAATGAGTACACGCTAAAGCGTCTTACACCTGAAGGTACATGAAAATATGACAATTTTCACAGTATATTCAACTTATGTGTATATTCATGCTATATATGATATAGGAACTCCGGGAGAGGCAAAAAAGATCACATGCGAAGAAGATATTTTCCGAATCTTAGAATTGCCATACAAGGAACCAAAGGATCGAAATTCATAAACAACGAAACTTATTCATTATTAAACATAAAACAAGATTAAAATATTTATTTAAAGCTAAAATATTACCACTGTACTTAATATTCATTAAATAATGTTGAAAACATTTTCGAGTAAATATCTTTTCTCTCCTGTCTACGTTTGTAATACGGTCCTTTTCACGTGAATTAAAATAATATGGGAAAAAGAAATATTTAGTTCATGTCGAGGCAACCATGAATGCGTAATAATATACTGATGCATATATTTTTAAATAGTTATAATAATGTTTTTCCGATAAAGAAGGTATCCAATTATTGCCCACAGACTTGTTGTCCACAAATTCATAGCAAGAAGGGACGCGTGCGTAGGATGAGCGATATGCCATGACCATGGGAACAATTTTTTTGTCAGTACATGACCCACATAGAGTAAAATAGGATTTGTTCCTATAAAAAATAATAGATGTATAACCTTCAGCAAAAAATTTTCACTTATGTATTAATCTCTTCGTTTGATAATACGTACCAGCATAAATAAACGGAGCTCCGCTCCAAACTTGCTTAAAATCAATGAGGACGTACAAAATAGTATGAAGCAAGAAAGCAAAGCTACAACAAGTCAAAACATACGATAATGTCATCATTCTCTTACTAACTGGAATCACTCCTCCTATCATTTCGAAGTTGCATAAAATTCCAGCAACAAGACCCTAGAAAAAAATGTGTATTGTTTTCTCCATTGGTAAGAACGTTCTTACTTTTTCAAAAAATTAATTTTTAACTACTCACTGTAAATACTGCCCATAACAGCCATCTGACCACTTTAGAATTACACTGGTAATATAGCAATAGAATTTTTCCAGCATGAACACCCAAGTAGACAATAAATATAGCAGATATAGTGTTCATTAGTCCTACAATTCAATCATATTTACCAACATTATAAAATAATTATTTAGTTGCAACTATTGTGAATAGTTTTAGTATACCTTCAGGGTCATAGTGTAAGATAGAACCATAAATAGTAGGTTCTGCCTTAGAGTATATGTGATCTCCAAAAATCGATCTGTCTATATAACCAGCTGCGCCAGCAGTGCAATTGATATATTTTCCACGATATTCGTATCGTCCACCGGGTCCAAGATAACCTCTCGGACAATTAGGTACCGGCATAAGAAAAGTAATTAAAGTGTGCGTAAGTACGATGCCTACCATGATCAACCATTGAGGCCAACTATGTAAGATGTCTCGGAACATGGCAAAACGACCGAACTAGAGTAAGGTATTCTAATGAGTTGTTTTCATAGATACTTATCAGATGAATGTAAAAATTGCACGCGATGGAACGAACCATATACGAACCTCAGAATAAAGTTTCATGAAGATTGTTTCCAATGTGGCACATACAAAATATGACACAGCTAGTAATTGAAGAACACCGGGGAAACGAAGATTGTTCAAAGATTTACTGTCCATGGAATTTATCATTAATCCAAGAAGTATTAATATCGCGGATCGCCGTAGGCAATGTAAAATTAGCTTCATACGCGAAATTGTTACACGAAGTTCTGTACGTTTTGATATTGTTATTGTCATACCCATAATCCACGCGAACCTGTAAGTTCATTCCTTTAATATTAGGCATTATATTATTACAAGTAATCACTTACCATGGAAGTACTAAATCTGCTACAGTAAGTCCAAACCATGCACTATGTTTGAAGAAAACATAATCTCCACCCCCATTGTTGACAAATATCATCAATAATATAGCAATTCTGTAGTGACAAAATTAATGTCATATCTCAAGTGGAAAATATGCAAAAACTTTAAAACAACAAAATAAGATACCCTCTGAATGTGTCCACTGAATGTATTCTAGTGCTAAATTCTGTAGTTTGGATTATTGGATGTGTCACAGTTTCCGTATCTTGAAGTCTCTCCAAATCCTAAATTAAATTATGCAAAATTGAATGAAATCAGGAACAATAAATCAAATTACTTGTACTTACATCATGTACAATATTAGATGACAATTTTACTTTTACCACTCGTACAATAACCTTAGATGTTGTCCATAAAATTGCTAGCAACAAAAGTATCATAAATGCTGCAAAGATTGCTGCAAAATTAATGAACCATTAATACATTATCATCAATGACAATTGTGTTAATTTATTATAACATCTAACTTACGAAGATTACTCTCTGTTGGTTCACGTAATAGATAAATATCAGAACATATAGACTTTGCTGATATATTCCACCCATAACTACCATGTTCTTTGAAGGTATAAGTTGTGCTGCAAGAAATATTACAAATAAATACATATTTATATAAAAAAGCAAAATGTGCATCTGACATAGAACAGAAAAGAAATAAATATACTTACTGACAATACTCAAAAAATTTACCATTCTCCATAACTTCATAAAATATGTGTAATGGGTATTTTGTGCTTATTATTAAACTTGTATTACTATTTGGCAATAAAGTAGATACTGGAATACCAGTACCCTGCAAATCAATAATATTTACAAAATTTAGAAAATTTGATTTATAAAATACATTGAAATTTTGTTTGAAAACAAATACATACCGAATAAGCATCCCATGCTATTGCATAAAAGATCACAGGAGTATAATACAAATTCATAATACTGAAACATGCTTGATCTATTTCAAGTAAAGTATTTGTATTAATACAAGTATCCAAGGTTAAATTCATCATCTTGAAACAGTTATCTCAAAACTTGAACTTATTCTAAATTATTACATTTACATAACTCATAATACTTTCATAAATTCTCACTTAACTTATCTCATAAAGTGAAACACGACTTCATGTCTGAAATTAAGTATACAAGAGATTCTAAATAAATTACAGAACAAGTGTATGTATCATTATTTCTGTACAACAAATATTCAGCACTGAATTGTTACAAAAAGGTTAAGATATAAAATAAATCTTTCAAAATAATATAAGCAAATTCAGTTACCGTGGTATAGATTAAACACGCATTTTTGTAAACAAACACAAGACTCTTCCTTTTTCACGGACAATGATTTCAACGAAATATCGTAATGAATCTTCAATCAAATCTTTAATCGTTGTACGTTAAAACAAATGATGACATCAACTCAATCAACGGTCGTTATTGAATATCAACAAAATGTAATTACAACGTAATCAACAAAAACATTCTCAACCCGTGTAATACACTACGCAATGAACGGAATAATCTTACACCTCGGGAGCAGTATGGAATACGAGTTACCTGGTAAAATGGCGTAAAAACAATTGCATAAAATATTAAATGCCGTAATTGAGTACTTTCGCTACGTAGAAAATAAAAAACTGCTTATGGAATGTTGCTCTACTCGAGTAATATGATGAACACAGCTGTTGTTGTTGGCGGAAACATGTATTTACATATGTATGTACATATATATAGAGTAGATGCGTAGTTGTAACGATTGTACACACACGTTCGATGTTTCGTTAATACATTTGGATATTTATAATTCGTGACGAACAGTTGTAGCACTAACCTCAATTTCCTTATCTTGTTCTTTGTCTATTGATCATTTTACTTGCATAATGCAAAATCGATCGATCATTGCAAATTAAAAAATAGATTGGTACACCATTCACCTGTTTTTCTACCTTATAAAAATGTGTTCTTCTACAATTTTGCTTCGAGGAAAATGATACATCTCTCGAACAACACGAAATAAATTATCCTTACGCATGTAAACTGTACGCTGTGTAACTATAGCAAATAAAAATGGCAGAACTATAAATGGGGTGGTGCGGTACAAAAATAATACACTGAAAAAGTGTAGTATTAAATTACGAAGAATAATTAAATTTGAATTAAATGCATAAATTCGTAATACAGAATGATTCCTAAAGACAAATAGTAATCGAAAAGCCTGTAGACGGAAGATTAGGTTATTTAAAAAAATAAAGCAATAGCGTGGTCTGCAGCATATCACTTTTTATCCTTTTCGAAATAAATTATATAAATAAATCCTATTAATGCTCTAACAAAAGCTCTAATGCTCAGACGAAAATAAAATATTCTCGTTGCAGATTTCTATTTCAACGAATTACTCATTTCCGTTAATAATCGTTATCAAGATCAAACGACAGTAGTAAAGATTTAGTAATCGATATGCAACATTGCGTTCGAGAATTTAATCGCGACAGATAGCTATGAGTCAGTAACAAAATTCACCTTCTATAAAAGATTTTATTCTGGTAAGATACTGTGGGAAACCTGTTGGATATTTAGACTACACAAACGCTCAGAGTATTATCCCCTTCTGCTAGGTTTTTCGGATATATGTATATACATATATATATATACTGTGAAATATTTGGCGGTACATATTATTATATACAAATTATGCAATATCGTACGCAGAAAGAAGTTTCAAAATGCTTGTTCCAAAACTTAAATGAGAATCAAGTTATCAAACGGATCTACATACGTTCATACCTCTACAAGTTCGCTGTAAACGTTGAAGCATTGTCGATACAAAACGATTTTATTCAATACCGCTTTGATACCGAATTTTGGTAGCACCCTTATGATTTTTTGGTGACAAAGAACTTTTTCAGATTCTGTGCTCTTCTATGGCTGGTCTACGTGCAATGTGATTCAACTCTCTTCGAGTCCATCGTTGAACTCATGTCTTCTTGCGTTTCCCGCTAAAAGTAACATTACGTTACTATTTACAAAAGTTGACTTTTTTCCAATCACTGTCCGAATAGCGTCGCAATTTACACCCAGGAAAACGTGATTTTCATCACGACTCATCATCGGATGACTCATCCTAGATTTTTCTCAGGCAAGCTTTATCTTCGGGTAGAATCCTGCAGAATCGACGCAGCTCGGCAATCGATTTTCCATAGTTGCTTATACTATGACGCAGTCATATTGCTTATAGGACACTGATTTTCAACCGGTGTGCCGCGAGAAAAAAATATAATTTTTCTTTGCAGATCAGTCGAGAATATATACTTTCTTGTCAGATCGGCGAAGAAATGTAATAAAGGTAGTTCTCACGTTACGAATTTTATCTTCAACGGATTTTTATTTCAATTTGTACGGGGAATCACCCAGTACGTAACGACGTAACGATCACTTAGAACGAGCCTCACATTTTACGAACTATCGCCTAGGAACCAATAAATTCGTAAATGTGGGAACTATCTGTATATTTCTTTAGCGTGACGTAGAATTTTAGTAAATTAATTTATACGTGCCGTGAGATAGAAAAGATTAAAAATCGCTGCATATTATTTGTTCAGCGTAAACGTAGAATTTTAGTAATTAGTTTATCTGTACTGGTGAGATAGAAAAGATTAAAAATCGTTGCTACAGAAGATACAACGGTTTCTTCTATTAAACGAAACAACGTTTAAACCAATTTTCGTCCGTTGCACTCTTATTTCACCAGCTCGGAGTGTGTTTCTAAGAAAAAGGAAAGAGAGAACACACTTACATACATATCTTCACTACGTTGTCGTCGCGCTGGACTGTTCCAGTAAATAATTTCGCGTCCCGTATAAAAATTCTCGAATGATCGACAATTGGAACTGATAGTGACCGACGGCGAAACGTGATAAGCTATACACCGATAGATGTCCCGATCGCCATACCTAACCATTCTAACCAGATATCGTATAAATACGCCGAGAGGGAAAGTGATGTTCGTCATACTGTTTCACTTCTTCACGATCACTCGTCTTGCAATCGTTTACATCTCGAGTAATCTGATCGGAAAAATGAATCGTCGCAGCGGCAGGCAGCTAGTCAACAACGATCGAAATCCCCATGAAAAAACAAACCAGGACAAGGTAACACGTCATCATTTTCCCTGTCTTTTTTTTTCCACGGTCTAGTAATAATGAAGCATGGTGGGAAAAGTCTCGAGATGTGATCTCTGTGTGTATGTTTCGAAGGAAGGGATAAAAAGAGCTTTCTCTGTGGGGTCTTTTTTTACCATTCTCTACTTGTAACCTTAGACTGATCCAACTTATTGTACAGTAATTTTTTACTAGATTTGACAGATATGTATAGAATTTTGAGAGAAACAAAATGGAGTTGGGTTAGTTTGAGATTTCACGTACAGAATCACCTATGTTTATTATGTAATTATCGATGTACATTGGTTACGGTGAATTTTATTCGACGATATTTGGCACGGTTTTGGCTTTGTGGTTTTCGTTGTATCGTGTGCGTTGCTTAACTATCGCGTACTATATAGTAATAACGATTTCCCTTGAAGAATTTCGGTAGTTCGCTAGTGATAACAGTTTCCGTTAAAGAAATTCGGTAGTTCGCTAGTGACGATAGCGACCAAGATACGAGCGTAAAGGGCGATCGATCATTTCTCTAACCGTGAATACACTATTTTCACACTTTTTTCTTCTTTTTTTCTTCTCCTCGCGAATTAACACTTCGTGATTCGTAGTTTGGATTTTAAGCTGGAAAGCTTGAAGTTTCATATCTAAATCGTGGCTAAAAGAAAAAATTTGAAACGTAGTGCAATTGATCTGAAATCATTTTTTGTTTCCGCAATGAAAACCGATCCTTAAAGAAATTTTGCAATTAAATTGTCAACGTTTAACACGTTCAGGTGTGATCACGTTATTCTATAGTATTCTATGAAAAAATATGTATACTTAAGAGCAGAAAAGATTAGAAACTGAAAAGAAATTAAGTATCAACGATGTACTCTGCCGGTAAAATCGAACTGTCGGGAGTGTTTCGTGAATTTCACTTTCCTGAACGTGTTAAATAATGGAAAAAACATTATGGAAACAGTTTTCTTGCCGGATCGAGAAACATGCAGAATTTCTTCCTGTTTGAATAAGCGTAATCGATGAGTTCATCCTGGATACTCGTTGTTGCACTTCGAACGACGCGTTATCTAACGCACCAAGGGTGTTTTCGCCCGGAACAATCGAAAATTAGCGAGAGAAAGAAAAATTGCCCGACACTTCTATCGAAGTTCTCTACAAACTTGCAAAGTTTATCCAAAAAAAAAAAATCGAAACTTTCGGGATACATTGATTTTTCAAACATTCTTTTCCTCACCTTTGCTGATTTTCAGGGACGAAACGATATTGCCGTATTTTTGTTTCTCAATCAGAAAGTCTCTCAGAGTTAGGATTTAATCGGCATTTAAGAATTTGATCGCTGACTCGATAAAGTGAAAAAAATCATTCGGTTTTCGAATTCGGTAAAATTTCCTCGTTTCATCTCGGCAAGCATTTATTTTCTCGTTTCTTAAGAAAAAACTTTCGATCTTTTTTTATCGTGCACAGAATTGTTCTTCGTTTTGCAAGTTTCGAAAAGTATCGACTAAAGTCGAATATCTCTCGTTATTATCTTCGGAGAAAAAGGAAAAAAGCGCGGAGAAAAGCTGTTGATTAGTATACTGGGCGGAGCGTAAATCGAGATAAGAAAGCGGCCTAGAGAGATAGGGTAACAAAGGAAAACCTTACCGATCGATCGCGGAAGCAAACGAAATTTTCTCGATTCGATTGGAAATTTATCGGAAAAGTGGCGAAGGTGACCTTCAGAAACTAAACGAAAATGCACGTACAGGGGGGAAATTACACGTTTCTCTAAGCAAAACTCTGAAACGACGATGAAAAATCGTCGTGAAAAATATTTCATTGTAGAAAACTATCGATAATGTAGAATTCTTCGTACTTTTTATCTTCTGAAACACTATTTTACTTCGGCATAGAGTCGAAAAATATGTTTTTTTTTGGTTGAACCAAAGTTTCTCTAACGAAGATTCACTCTGTGTACAGTCGGTGAAAGAAATGTTACTTGTTCGAGTATACCGAGCAAATATGGACAGAAACTTGAGATGATCGGGGGTCCGAAACCTTGATCAGAACTTAAGTACGCCTTAGTATGATTCATTTGCCATATATAGCTGAGTGTCGCTGCATCAATCGATGCCACTACTTAACCCTTTGAGTGTTTAGTCATGCGGACTACTTGAGTAGTTCATTTTTACGAGAGCTTCAGATAGAACGTAACGTTAGGATGCAACATTAACGAATAAACGCATCGAAAATATGTCTTATTAAGAATTCGGTAAGAAAAAATATAAGTAACTTCGAAAGTGATTTAAGTTGCAAAAATAAAAAGTGAACATTTTTTTGTGAACAATTTATTTACCGAGAGATTATCAATTTTTAACTGCACGTCATATTCACGTTTGCAAAAGGAAGCAACGAACTCATTTTCAATTATAAACCAGAGAGATTCAATTTCTGCTTGAAAGGTGAACACAGTTAACCAGTTAACAGCGTCCGACATGTATACACGTCAATCGAAGACTTTATTTCGGTGCGGTTGACATGTATACTCGTCGTGTAAAATAAAAAATTATCATTTACTGTAAAAACTCCAAATCTCAATAAGAAGTAATAAAAATGTCATTTGGTGGTATGTTTCATATTTGTCGATGTGTTTCGCTTTGTATATCGGATATTCCCCGTACAATGTATTACTTTTTACAAACTGAGTTGATTATTTTCCCCAATGCATCTGGTATTCTCCGAATGCCACACTGAAATCAACTGAACTTCTTAAAACTATTTTTTTTCTTTAATTTTCCTTGTGTATGAACTTTATTATTTTTGACAATTTCTAAATTTTTAATAACAACAACCTTTTCAACAATGAATTGTTAATTTTTTATCGAATAAAAATGTAATCCTTCCTCGTTTTGCTTTACTTTTTTCGTCAAATTTATGATAGGAGCATATGCCCTGCGTTCGAGGTGTGTACTCGTCATGGCTTGATTTCAATTCCGCATCCTGTGAGGGATTTTTAAAACTAAATTCCACAGTTAACTGGTTAATAGGTTCAGTTCCAAAAATAGCGGACATTCTTTTAATAATGATATTGGTAATATTTAATTATTACAGCGAACACTTATACTCAAAGGATTAACATTTCAATGTCCACGTGCTTGCTAAATTTCTTCCATCGACTGTACAATCGCTGGTACAGCAGGCGTTAAGATGAAAATCGACGAATCTTTGAGAAATGAAGCTCGATAATTGAATACTAATGATCGAAATATGTAACATCGATAGCTCCTCGTAAGAGTAAATTTGCGAAAGATACGTGTAATATTCTACAAACACGTGTCGAAGATGTACGAGGCACGTGCCTGCGTAGACGTATCTCTCTTCCTCCGCTTTTTCTTCAAATAAAGATAACGCTGAATTAGTTGTAAAGGTGGATTAATCAGAGGTGCGACGTTTTTATTATACGCTGCACCGATAAAACGTTCCGTTTTATCAATCGATGTAATGCTCGCCAATGAAGCAGCTTTGCGTTTCGTGTCCTACACCGTCGCTTTCTTTGCGCCGCTTCGAGGGTGCGTAGATTTGATCGATTTCATCACGAACATCGATCAAATTTGTATATAGAGTAAATTCTCTACAAGAGTCAGTCAGTTTGGATTCTACAAGTGACAGTATAGATGGTCCTACGCCTAGGTCTGCGACATTGTTGCGGCCATGTTATCTCGCTCGCAGTCAGTCAAGCGTGTAACGCTACACCAGTCGGTTTCCTTTACGAGATTACACGGCTTGACAAATCATAATAGAAAAATATAATTTCTTTAATTTTTACTTTTTTTCATCTGGAATTTTATTTAACATCATGTTGGTGAGATTTTTCTGATGAAAATGATATCAAACACGATATAATTTGAACAACATTTACTTATTAACACGTTCACTGTCGCGCCAGATTTACAGGTTGCTGTCAGGCGGCCACAAGAAAATACATTTTAAGCATAGGATTATAGTATTATGCTTTATAATTTTTTTTTTTCAATTGAAAATAATGTCTAGCTAGCTATGACGTTCAAAATTTTTAGTTGACAACATTTATTTTATTTTAATTATTCTAAACATTTGAGGCACTCCAGTCACTGATGACCACCATGGCCATATCGAGGAAACAATCTAACGTTAAAACTTATTGAGTGATTAATTTAATTTCATAATATATCGCTTTAGCGAGCCACCGTTTGGTTGCCAATTGTTTATCACATAGAGTCGGCCTACCTCCACGTAAAAAAAAAAAATGTAGGGTCGATTCGACAAGTGTCAGTAAAATGTAGGGTCGGTTCGACAAGTGTCAGTAAAATGTAGGGTCGGTTCGACAAGTGTCAGTAAAATGTAGGGTCGATAGCAGCAGAAAAGCTGCTAAACAATTAGAATTAAATGTAACGATAGAAATTATTGCAATAATGCGTAATGCAATTGAAAAATTGAAAGAATCAAAAGAAAAATCGCGAATTCGTATCTTTTTCGATTCTAGAATATAAGAAAATTTGAATAAAATACGCGACGAGAATTGGGGAGAAGCATAAGTTAAACGCGTAAAAATATTCAATAATAAACGAACTAGGGATGAAGCTATTATTTCAATACGCGATGCACTGACTCTAGTATTTACTAAAATTCAAAAATTCTCGTATAAATTCCGAAAATAGATTATTAATTACGGTAAACTACTGAGACGGTTTAATTTAGGGTGGGCATAGTGCACTCGTTCCAAATCAGCTCACAATATACAATAATAAATCAACTAACTACTTAACATGCAATTCATGCAAATTCCTTGGATGGTAAATTATTAGTAAACAAAATAGCAAGTCATAAAATAAATTCAATATCAGAGAAAATATATGAAAAATTTCAAATTAATTCCAACTGCTGGGGGAAAAGTACATATTGATTGTTATGCTGTAACGAAAAAGCAACCTCTCAAAGTCACTTCAATATTCTATTCGACAAGTCTGAAGAAC